CGTGTGTGTGCTGTAGCTGCAGGTGCGAACTTGTTCTTGCTGCCAGTAGTCTTTCTTAGAATATAAATATTGGTCGGGCCCAGGAGTCGGGCCATACCATGCTCAAAACCAAAACGGAAAATCTAGGTCCAAAACTAACCGCTGCCTTTCTTAAAATGATGTTAGCAATACAGTGGCGGCGCCATGCAGCATGGCGCCACTGTACGGTCGCCTGTATAGATGCACTGGATGAGTTACATTATTATATTGCCAAATGCACGCATTTCAATCAGCTACGCCAAAAGCTCACATTAATAACTTATGGACCGAAAACCCATATATATGTTAAATTAATGATTTTAAAGAGTAAAAAAAAATTGGGGGGGCCCCCCCCCCCCCAGAAAACAGTGCCTTTTTACAATTGCTGCACCCCCTCCTTCCTGAAATCATGGATCCGCCCCTGTAGTGCCTATATTTTCTAGTGTAGAAAATGTTGCTATTATGCACTGTACCTTGCAGCAGTGACAAAATTATATAAGTCCTTTAGTTTAACTGTTTATGTGCATAGTAACATTGAAAATTTTAATTTCTCAGGTGCCCTACAAGGAAACAAAATTATGACTACGTGCAATATCTGTTAACAGCCATTTACCACGAGTCTTGGGTAAGATAATAATAGTGAAATAGAACATATACGTTTAGTAGATAATTAATATATGACTAGTGGAACTTAGTATATATTGGTATACGAGATGGTGCTGTAATCTCTGTGATCACTGATAACCAATGATAAATCTTGTGGTAAATAATAATAGTTGCTACAGAATGACTGCACTCATCTAGTGACTATTACTACTAGTATTACTGCCACTACTGCTGTTACTGTCACTTACAGTTGGCTCTCACGTTGTCTCCATTGCTACTCCTCTCATTGCCACTGCTACTGCTATGGATAAAGCTACTGATACAGCTACTAATTATACAACTGCTACAGCCAACTTGCTGCAGAACCTCTATATTTTGAACTGTGTTATCCAGTGGACAAACAGTTCAATTACTCTGAGAATTAATATTGCATTACTCATATTTACTTATTTAAATGCTGCAGTTTGAGGTGTCTTGTCACGTTTTTTTTGACAAATATGACTTGTATCAATACAGAAAACTGAACCATGGGAGCATGAAAAAGAAGAATCAGACTGGGAGGTGTACTTCTGGGAAAAAAGCATCTCCAAGAAGAATGTACTGGAACTGTTACGTCGTCTTGAACCAGAGGTGATGGGTGACTTGCCATAGTAATAATTATCAATTTTGTTAAAGCAAACATTCCAAGAAGATTTTCTACCAATAAATTGTATATAATGGTATAGATGATACATTATATATATATAAATGGAACTAATGTTACACATAGACACAGATAGGATTAACATAAATGTCACCTACACTCAAAATCTAGTACCAAAGTTATGGGAGCGGATAAACAATTTTTCATTTTTTATTAATTATATTCGATTTAATATTCATCCGTAGTAAAAGGCATATATAAAAGTAACATTCAGTAAAATGCCCAATTTCAGGCAACTACAGTAGAGATTCTAGAAAGACCTGATGTCCACACCTACTGCAAGTCTGTACAGGAACTTCACGATGATGGGGAGGATCTGAGCACATTGAGCAATTATAAGTTAGCTGTCAAGAAACTTCTTGCCTTATCCTGAGGTAGTTTAATGGTCCACAGACTTTCAGCCGGTGCATACACAGTTATTGTCGTGATGTAGTCAGTTAGTTATCTCGTTAGGGATGGGAATGAGATATGCAGCACAAATGTTATCTGCCTGTATTCCTTGCTAGCAGTCTATAGTTTCTCAAGCAAATGGTGTGAGCAGTTTGACTGTCCATCATTTTGTATCAGGGAGCGTGATTTTAAAAGGTGGACGTTAGAATTTGTGGCGGCTAGCCTAACAGACCATTGGTTTAATTCCAGTATTGTACGATGATAATTGACAGGATGTAGTATTGTACGATGATAATTGACAGGATGTAGTATTGTACGATGATAATTGACATGATGTAGTATTGTACGATGATAATTGACATGATGTAGTATTGTACGATGATAATTGACATGATGTAGTCCACTAATTTCAAACTCCTGATAACAATGCTCTGTTAAAATCATTTTCAATATAAATTCAATATTTTTCTTTATTATGGGCACTAATTCACATACATTTCTCATATTTTCACTTTTTCTATTTCGTTATGCCTACATGCATGTGATTATGTAGAAAATAATTCCTATTCTCCATCAGACTGTCACTAGCTTTATCCATCATGTCAATATTTTGAAAACAATTTGAAGGCTATCTATTATTCACACATGAAACTACTCAAATGCATACTAATTACCTTTCATATCATTCAAATTGACCAATTTTCATAACCTAGGTGCAAAATCCTGTTATATGCATCTATTTCAACTCTGACTGTCTACAGAAACGTGAGCACAGCCCACGAAATAAGTATAACATGAGTCCATTACATTCCTGAATAGCCTGCATTAATATCCAGAAACCACCAGTACTAATTTTGCCAAAAGTGGAAAAGTATGATGGTAAGGAAATTATATGCCACGAAGGTGGATTTTACTGGCGAGTTTTGGTAGATAGGAAATTTTGAAAATGGGTCAATTTCAATTTGAGAGTTGTACACTTTTATGTGATATACTTCAAAGTAAATTTTGATTGCAAATTACACATTATTTATATAAGGACATGTAACAACATTTCACGAATTGTACGTAATACCACATAATGCATTAGGGTAGACAGTGTAGTATTGTCTTGCAGTTATTTTATATAAGCTGGGAATACATTAGAAATATATTTGTACAGTAAACAAAATTAACACATATCGTGCTCAGCAGGAGTCTCACACACCCGCACATGCTGAGTTTCAGCATCGCGAGACCAAAATTATCAAATACGACCGAAAACTCACATAAATCACCATAATATTCGTCCCCGCACGCGGTGAGATTCGTGCTTACCATGTTCCGTGCTCAGCACGAATCTCACCGTGTGCAGGAGCCTTAAGAAACACATTTGAGATAAACGGTAGAGTATGCAAAATACACACTGTTAGTTGTTTCAATATTTAGTTAGCCGAGGAGTGTAACCATGCAGAGAGAATAGCAGATAAGATTGAGAATGAAACTAAACTGTAAACTGCATTTATTACGAATCAAGTTCCATTGTTGGCTATATGTCGGATCCTCTAAACTTAGCCAGAGTCAACACTGCGCATGAGCGCTATATATACATTACATTAGTTAGCGAGCATGTCTCCAAATATTAGACCGCATTGGATTAGAAGTTCTAGGCAATGACTCACACAACAATAATCATAGAAAGACAGAT